ATTTTTATGGGAGTGTCGCGACCTGCCGACGCCATGCAAATAAATTACTTCCCCTTGTGCATGAGAAAAATTAGGTCAAGATGTTATAGGCACTGTGGATTATCTATGTATTATACTTGAAATAAATAACTCTACTATATAACTCTCAATATATATAGCGTGATAACTCTATTAAATATAGTAGTAACTCTACCACATAGAAATTAAAGAAAATCTTGCTAGTGTTCTTTGAGAAAATAAACTATTATTCCTTAGGTTTTTTTATTGCGAAACTATTATGTCATTATTAAAATTTATATTCCAAAAAATACGCTTTATATCAAAATGAAGTCAAAAGAAGAAAAATATATATTTTCAATGACGAGTTTGTTCCATCCATACTATAACTATAAATGCGAAAGTGTTTGTTTCTTAAGCTTTCACACCTAACTAGTCAATCGATTATCATCGAAATTTCGCACAATATTTTTAAGGTCTATCAAATAGAAATACAAAATATCAATAAAAAAAAATTTTAAAATCGTATAGTTAAGTCAGTAAGCCTGGCACAATTTTCTCAGCAAAATTTAACAAAATAAATACGACTTAAAATTCGGTAAATATCGAGTGTAATTAATAAATATTAACAGGAATCACGAAAAAATACTTAAATAAGTAATCAATAAACATTATTATGGTCTTGTTGAGTTTTAAAAAGGGCGATAATGATATTTCCTACTAAAATATTAGTCATTCTTATATTCCTCCTAACCTAAGTTCAAGTATTCAATACTGAATATTGGAATAAAACTCTTTAAGATCTTAAGATCACGTGGTGAACAAACTTACGAGTCACGATGATCGTTTGTAACACTACCAAGTAAAAACTTTAGCATTACGCCCAAAAATTTCGAACCTTAGGGTCGACTGCATATTCTTACCGAAAACTTTAAAGTCATTCTTCCGACACGTTTACTAAGCAAAGCACTTACGAACATTAAAATGTTCGCCTTGCAATAACATATCAAGGTACATTAAGCTAACATAGTGCGTAACTGTGCTGAGTCTTTAGAACTTATATTTCAAGGTGGGCGGCGGCGTTTATGTTGTAGATGTCTATGGGCTCCAGTAACCACTTAACACCAGGTGGGCTGTGAGCTCGTCCACTCATCTAAGCAATAAAAAAAAAGATGTACTGGACCAGGCTAAGGCCCACCCTGGGCTGTAAGATGATGATGATGAAACATTAAACAGACCTAACCACATATTTTAGGTAGTAGCTTGGCTGATGTCCTTGACGCTGACTTCTTACCATCAGGTTGGCTGTGAGATTGTTTGCATACAACGGCAATTAAAAACAAAAACCCGTTGTCTGTAAAGTCGGTTTACTGACGATAGTTGAACATGACAAAGTCATAAGAAAATACGCCTCAGAGCGAGGTAACGCCGCATGAGTCATGTTTTTTCGTGCGTGCAGCCGGCTCCATCGAATTATAAGACGTTGTAACGTCAAAAAAAACTTAACTTTAACACACGTTGTGTGTGAAATACTACATATGTATCACTCCATATAATAATATAAGCGCACTAGTTTTTCATGGAAGCATTGCGCATTGCAGTACTTGCCAGTAATTTGATGATTAATTTAAAAGAAGTCAGAAAGCACAGTGTTTTGAACTTTCAGTTATATTTGAAGTATGATTAAAACTATGTTTTTAAACTATTATCTATGTATTTTGTATGTATTTGTATGTATGTATATATTTGTTTTGGTAATGTAATTATAACCTAGTGTTTATTTTCACTCATGTCTATAATTCTTTAAATTATCGCCATGTATCTTATACCTTTAAACAAGCAATTCTTGTATATAAATATATCAAATCAAATCAAACTAAATAAAAAAAAAATATTCAACATAAATGAAAGTACATACTTGTTGAACGTCAAAAAGAACTACCGCTTGCTAACTATATATATAATCTGAGTCTCGGAAACGGCTCCAACGATTTTCATGAAATTTATTATACGGGGGATTTCGGGGGCGATAAATCGATCTAGCTACAATTAATTTTCAGAAAATGTAAAATATTTTTTTTGTTGTTCGTGTTTTCAATTTTAACGATAATCAACTTAAACATAAACTTCTTTTTTTTATTGAAAGAAAATAACAAATAATATAATATCAATTTGTAATTCGTATTTAAATATAATTTCTAAAAAAACATAATTTATCAAAAAAAAAAAAAAACCGAGCAAAGTTCGGTCATCCTCTAGTTAACTTTATCACGGCTACGCACTACTTGGATCTTTCACTTCATCAACGAGGGTTGAAGAGAATGCCTGCATGGCGTTAAGTTCGCCATTGTACAATGTTTTTGTGCAATAAAGAATTTTCAATCAATCAATCAATCAATGTTTACACTTATCCCGTTTCTTATTGTCAGTATATTATTTCCAGGTAGTGGATGAGAGGCTCAGGATCCGATCAGGTCACTTGGGACAGGCCTATATCCAACAGTGGACATAATAGGCTGTTAATTGTAATGATGATGATGATATTATTTCGAATGTTTTACTATTTAGATGGTCACGGTCAGATTAAACCGTAATAATAGCCTTAATTATATCTAAGTCCTGCGAGAACCGAAGAAAATAATATTTTGGGGTATTTTGGGGTACTGGTGGTAGGACCTCTGGTGAGTCCGCGCGGGAGGGTACCACCGCCCTGCCTATTTCTGCCGTGAAGCAGTAATGCGTATTGCGTTTCAGTTTGAAGGGTGGGGTAGCCGTTGTAAATAAAACTTGAGACCTTAGAACTTATATCTCAAGGTGGGTGGCGCATTTACGTTGTAGATGTCTATGGGCTCCAGTAACCACTTAACACCAGGTGGGCTGTGAGCTCGTCCACTCAACTAAGCAATAAAAAAAAAAAAGTTGGGATAGACTCGTACATAAATTGTATGTAAAGTTTGTCTTGTTCATTATTACATTTGTATACGAACAGTCTTATCGATATTTTATGTGGCCAAATGAAAAATGGATTCGACTGTGACAACTTTTTGACCGGTATAGATGTAGGGAGAAATTATTTTCCTTCGGGAAAACTCGGATCTTTATCGGAAAACGATGACACCCGAACTGTCTATGAATGTTCGTATTAAATGAATGACATTTTGATATCCATTAATATCATAGACCTATATAGATTATTATGGAACATTATTGTTTAGTGTCAAATGTCAAAATGAATAATGTCATTGTATAATATAGAGATGCTACAACCACAACCATAACAATAAAATTACGAAGGAAAATCTTTTCTCACTATATCCATAGTATATTTTAATTGATACAGTATAACCAATTTGCATAACAATATGAATTGAGAAAGGGTATGCATGAAATTCAGATATTTAATCTGCAAAGTAATACAAAAAGATTGAGACTCTAAAAAGAGGTAAAAAAGTGACTGAAGTATAATAAATTTATAGCTTAATAATTTAAAAAAAAAAGTTGGAATAGCATACCGAACTAACAATTTAAACTTTTATTTTTCATGTTGATACTGGTCAAGATGTTACAGCGAAGTCATATAATTATTGTATTGTCATCGGTCATTGACGTGTGTGTGTGCAAATTAATCAAGTTAATCGGACGTCTTGAAGTCCGTGAAAATGTCGTTTAAATATTCCGTTACGTGGAAACAAACACAGGTATACGTGCGAGTGGGAGATAGATTGTTATCCTGCAAAATAAATTAGTGGTTTCATTTTTTTTAAATTCACCTCACGACAATAGGTACTATCATCTAGCCTTTTTTTATTGCCCTTGTAGGCAGACGAGCATACGGCCCATCTGATGTTGAGTGATTACCGTCGCCCATGGACTACAGCAATGCCAGGGGCAGAGACAAGCCGCTGCCTACAAAAGCCTATTTAGCCTATTTATATCGCAAAGTTATGAGTTACGATTTGAAGAGTACCTTCCTATTATACAAAAGAGATTTCAATTTAGGTACCTCAAGCTAGATGGCGATATCCACAACGCCTTGGCGCCAAGTGAGCTCTTGACTCGAACTTTTCAATTTGCAAGAGAAATTTTCGAATAAGCTGAATATCATAGAACTTAAAAGAGGAAGTTTAATTACAATTAAAAAATTATTTATTAATTTTTTGAGATTTTTTTTTCTCACAGCCCACCACAGATGTTAAGTGGTTAACGGAGACCCATAAACATTTACGACGTAAATGCCGCCACTCACCTTGAGAGATGAGTTCTAAGGTCTCAGTATAATTACAACGGCTGCCCCACCCTTCAAACCGAAACGCATTACTGCTTCACGGCAGAAATAGGCGGGGTGGTGGTACCTACCCATGCGGACTCCCAAGAGGTCCTACCACCAGTGATTACGTAAATTCTCAGTCAATTCTCCATTTTGCTGAAAGGTTATTCTTTCAAGCCATGTGAAAGGTCATATTTCGCTTCGTTTCATTCAGTTTAGGTTATTAGATTTCATTAATTATTTAGATTCGACACTATTTAAATATTTCTTTCGAAATAATTTAATCTTTAGACTATGTTCCCTTTGCCTTTCCAATAGAAAAATCGAAACTAATATGGTGCATCCATAGATTGTAGGTACTTATTAACTCCATGCTTCGATCAACAATAGTAACTAGATACACGGTCGGTGCGGACTCACAAGAGATCGTACCACCAGTATAACCAGCCAGATTTCATTGATTAATTTTAAACAAGAACTCGTTTAGTTCTTTTTTTTTTGCGATTTATATTTAAACCGAACTGTACGTCTCTTACCCTAACTGTAACTGAACGCCAGACTGGCTGTTTGGCGTGGCGCCAATATTCGTAACAACACTCCTTGTCCGTACTAACTAATCGATATCTTTGATTACTATACTTAATTCCTTCGAAAACATAAACACTAGGAACTATCACGGAATCTACATAAGGTATCGTGTAAAATTTAGTTAAAAAAAAATTAATTACGAACTCACCGGAAATCTTGTAAATATTGCTGTCCAAAATGCTCCTTAAATCGATAGATGCACAAAAAAAATCAAATAATACGTTCGTCATATGTAAGTATTGTATTTTCAATTCGTTCCCGCAATACTGAGCGAGTGAGCGCGGGAAAATTACGCAAGATGATGTACAGAGGTCAGCCCTTTGCGCGGGCTGGCAAAAGACTGGGTAGGTTTTGGCACACACCACCTTATCAAACCTATTGTATAGATTCTGAGCTATATGATATACGTTCCCCTATTTTAACTGATCCGAATCAACCACATCACTACAACTTTCCAAATGCCAAATAGGTTATTTTTTTCGTTACCTATTGTATCACTAATATAATTTTATAATATTCAAATAGAACATCAAAGTATTTGTTGATAGTTATTGTTTTAATACAATGAATCTATACTTAATATATTATAAAGCTGAAGAGTTTGTTTGTTTGAACGCGCTATATGACATCACGCTAAGACTAATACAAGCGGAGCACCAACAAATGAGTCGTCTATTATCAAAGGTGGCAATCTGTGCATTTGGACAAAAAAATGTTATTGATATGTCAATACAGATTGAATGGAATATAATCGTCTCCTTCAAAGAATACGGTTCAAAACCTGCATTAAATAAAGGTTAATACTTAACCTGTTATTTATCTAAGATGTCGTTCAGAAGAGTTTTGTGACTGCCAATGGAATACAAAGTCAATAATTCGTTTTTCTGATTTACCAATAATTGTCCAAAAGTCACATTGCCGGCTTTGATAATAGTCGACTCAAATAATGTTTCAAAATCGGGTTTTTTTTCCCCTTTTGAGTTTCCGCTACGTGCGCTGCAGAAACGGTTAAAGTTTCGCTAAAATAATGTATGACAGAATTGTTCCCCTTGAAAAGATCTAAAAAAAAGTCCGCGATAGCATATGTCTATATGTTAAGGTTGGCTCACTACAACGTTTTTTATGCTAACCAAATTGATTCTAAAATAAAGCATTATTTGTGAACTATTCCACGCGGATGAAGTCGCGGGCAAAAGCTAGTATTAAATAATATCACAAAAAAGTATATGAAAGCCTTCACGTATTTTATATATAAACGGTATGTTATCAGTACACGAAATATTTTGCAGTTTGTAGTGCAAGTATTACTATCGCTCGCAAGGGGTAGATGGAACTATGACCTCATAGATCGCAGCGATTCTCATGGATCTATTGTAACTTTCCCGTTTCTTTATCGCTGTTTCAAATTCACAATTTGATTTACAGGAACCTGGATTGAACTAATTTTGATTTCCTTGCCTGGCCTTGTTATGGTGGTTTATTGCATTTGCAGCAAGCGTGAAGATTAGAAAGAATCCCCTCTGGACTACTGAGCATTCGCATTTCAGTAGTGATACCGTTAGGTACTGCCGTAGTAAAGTCTAAATTACCAGTTGACATTTGGCTTTGCAATTCGACTATGCGCAATGGAGAACTTTGAAATTCTTGCAGAATTCTAAGCCGCCTTTGAAATTTTTAAGCTATTGCATAGCTTTTATCGTGAGCCTTGAGCGCGACGACCGAATCATGAAATTCCGTAACGAAAAAACCTAACACCCCTCATTCCGCCTACCATGTAGCTCGCGTTCAACACATTCACACGTTGCGCTTGTGTAGTGTTTGTGAATAAGCGCGTGGCGTGATGTCACACTGCATGCGCATCATGAAAAGTCTGCCCATCTCTCTCTCGCGCGGTCTAGCTTATGAGTGTGAAGGGGACAGTTAATGTTTTGTTTTTATTAATGTTTAATATAGCGTGGTCTTGTTTTATTATTGTTTTAATATTAAATTATCATTGTCTGATTATAATTGCATAACTTGATAAAAAATGCTATGCATTAGCTTTACCGCGACAGTTCCCGAGTGCACACGTTTTTTTTTTTATTATGCGTATAGGTCTTTTTTTATGTTTCGATCACTAGTATCATATCGAGTGGCTGTATGGTTGTCTATGTAGAACAATATAGACAACGCATTCGATTATTGTTTTTATTGTTAAGATTGATGGAAGAGCTCACACGACCCACCTAGTGTTAAGTAGTCATCGAAGCCCATAGAAATAAAACAATGTGAATTCCACCTTGAGACATGAGTTAGAAGTTTCAGTTTTCAGTACAACGGTTTTTTTCCTACCTATTGCTTGTAACCTCGAGGGGTTATTCTGGTTTCACTGGGGCTCAGTCTGGCGACTTTGCCAACAGTAACCCTTGCAAAAGCAGTGGTTCGCTGAATCTACCACCGGATCGAAATCGCAACTCAGAAGATCAGGCGAGAAACTCGTGGGCTGTGTCTGGGAGTTAATTTTCACGACGAACCCTTCGTCGTCTTCAACGGGTTCGACAAGAACGGTGACCGGTAATTCGCATTCTTAAAAGCACCATTAGTGGATCGGGAGGATTTGAAGTGACGAGTTTTGGGCAATGGTGACTGCTTACCATTTGGTAGAACGGATGCCCCACTCTCCAAGCCGAAACGCGTTACTGTTTCACGGCAGAAATAGGCAGTATAGTATCTACCCGTGCGGGCTCACAAGACGTCCTACCAAATGTAGATGAATCATTATTAATATTATTTTCCTACCTAAGCTGAAAGCCTTGAGAGGCTATTTCAGCGTAACCCTAACTAGCAGGTGAGCTCACGGGGCTCAAACCTGACGACGTTGCTAAAACGAACCCTAGTAAGTGCCGTGCTTCGCAGAATCTACCACTGGATCAGCAACGCGAGCCACTGAGAAGATCTGGCGAGGAACTCAGTGGGCTGTGTCTTAGGGTTAATTTACTCGTCGAGCCCTTCATCGCAAGCGACGGGTTCGACGAGAACGATGACCGGTGCTTTAGGTATCTAAAAGCACCGTTAGTGGATCGGGTGGATCGGGAATGAGAGCCTATGTAGACGTAATGTAACCAAGCGACACTTCCGTCTTCAAACAGGCGTCAACCTATTGAGTGAGTATGTCACTACGTATAAAAGGATAGAATATAATATAAAGGGTTCATACACGAAGTAATCAATTATAAAATAGAAAACTTGCTTGCGTATATTTTGTTTATGTATTTCTTTTTCTTTTTTTTTACAAAATAAAAACCAGCATTTTTCACGAATATTTAATTTTATTTTCCACTAGAATATAATTCAAAACTAGAAATTATTGCACTAGAAATAGTGATAAAAATTTACACGTCTATTTAAGAGTGATTAAAACAATTTTATGGTTTCATTTCAAATGAGGGTAGATGAATTTGCAACGTACGAATTCTTGGAGCAAATAATGCAATGACTATATTTTATATTTTACGGTATTATATTTATTATTTACTAGCTGACCCGGCAGACTTCGTAGTGCCTCAATCGATAAATAAAATACCTAAACTTTTGTATAAAATAAACTTAAAACAAACAAAAGGAATCCGTCCGACGGGGGACACATCAAATGAAAAACAAAATTGTTCTTTTTATTCGATTCCGAGCATTTTCATATTTATCTACCTTTTAAACCTTCTCTAGACTTCCACAAATAATTCAAGACCAAAATTAGCCAAATCGGTTCAGCCGTTCTCGAGTTTTAGCGAGACTATCGAACAGCAATTCATTTTTATATATAGAGATAAGTATGCATTTAATCCGGACAATAGTTTCCGCCAATTTTTGTTAGATATGTGAGTCATAACATAATTTCTTTACATAGTTTAGTTACTATTCTTCCAGTTTAAACAATGTATATAAGAGAGATATCTCAGTGAAAAAAAACTTAAGTGTTTTACACAGCAACACTGAACAAATTGCGGTAAAGGTAAAAAAACATATTTTTTTAGCTTTGCCGCTGTACTCAATGTAATGGTTGGATATCGGTAAGATATCGGATCTACGATGTTAAGATAGAAGTTGACTTACAAAACATTAAATTAATAAAACAATAAGTATTTCACCTTCGTTTATACTAAGTGAACAATATTCCATTCATCTTAGCTAGCAGGTCATGTTCGTGTCTCCGCTTAGACTTCAAAACTGTGCCAAAACAAAAAAAAGATTGTAGGAAAGAAAGTTCTAGAGCAGTGGTCGGCTACCCGCGATTGGCGGGCTTCAAGCTGCCCTTTGACTCGGCACAGAATATTACTTATCATCTTGCTTTGTAAGAGAATAGTAAACATTTTTAAAAAAACAAGGCTATCTATACTATTATATAAATCTACACTGGTTTTTACGGATGTTCCGTTATAACTACTGAACCGTGCATCCGATTGATTTGAAACTTGGTATCCATGTAAAAAATACATGTACTTAATGGACAGGCTAATATATATATGAGTGTGGGGCTCCCTACACCAGTTGCGGGGGCGTTAATGATGAGAATCTTTGTGGGGGTGAGAAATAATAATGTTAATTTTAAATGCCCAGCGAAGCGGATGGGTACACCTAGTATAAATATATATTGAAAAAATTATAATGGCTTGTTAACGCCTACGAATTTTTAAGGAGCAATGTACAAAATTTTATTTATGTTCACCGACACATTATTTTACTGGTGGTAGGACCTCTTGTGAGTCCGCACGGGTAGGTACCACCACCCCGCCTATTTCTGCCGTGAAGCAGTAATGCGTTTCGGTTTGAAGGGTGGGGTAGCCGTTGTACCTATACTGAGACCTTAGAACTTATATGTCAAGGTGTGTGGCGCATTTACGTTGTAGATGTCTATGGGTTCCAGTAACCACTTAACACCAGGTGGGCTGTGAGCTCGTCCACACATCTAGGCAATAAAAAAAAATTAAAAAAAAACAATTTTTAAACACTTCAATTAATGGCCGTGCCAAGCTAACTTGTTCGCAACGTATTAAATTAACAATAACCTGTATAAAGGAAATACAAGCACGAAATCGATTGTGGAAGTTTTATTGAAGAAACCCAAGCATCCAACATGGCTCTTCGAATAAAATTCAATTGTGTGTTAGATTTATATTTGGTTCTTACGGTTTACGAGCCGACCACTGTTTTAGAGTACATTTTGTATACACGCTTAGTACAGAAACATCTTTGTAGTACTTCATTTTCAAATAATATTTGTTTCAAAAAAACAATCGTTCATTCATGAAACCGTAAAATTGTTTTCGTCAAACCTAGTTCTTGTCTTTATTTTTCATATTTCAATAGAAAAACAAAACAAAACATTAAAGATCTACCAGATTCACAAAAAAAAGGTAACATAATTTTAAAATTTTTTCGTTTGCACATTTCGTGAGAAAACTAAAATACATTAAAGCACATTTATCGTAGTTATTCGTAATAATACACATTAAAAAACCCATTAAACTTACGAAAATGTAAATACAAATAATAGGTAATAAAAAATATGAATATTTTTTATTTACATACATACGATTTTTAAATTAATAAATACCACGTAATGTAATCTTTTTTTATTTTTCACTTATTTTCTATTTCAATGTTGAAAAATCAATAGGGTTTGCGGATCAAGGGGGATATTGTTTCAGTGACCAGTGTTGGGGTGGGATTCATACAAAAGTGTTTCAATTTCTTAAATATGTGAAATAGTGTTACATCGTATCGTAACAAAATTCTAAAAATATAAAATTAATTCAAAAAATCATTACACACAAACAAACATAATAACTAGTTGTTACAGTGAATGGAAAGCGCGCGCTTTGCTTCATAATGACCATATAAGGTATTCGTTGGTACCGGAAATCAAATTCTTTCTAGAACATCCGATAACAACCGCCCTTTCTATCTCGTCTCATACGTAACAATGGGTAAGCAATAAAACTTTTTGTCGAGGCCCCTTCTCGGCAGCGGGAGTACGAAGAAATCCTCAGACTAATTCTGAGGTAAATTTTGAAATGTCAGATCTGATGATAGAAGGGCGGGCACAAACCTGTGCACCCTTGCTTTGTAGGTACAATTTTTCTATTACCCTTTTTTTAGTGAGGGGCCCTACTGGAGGGTTTGATGGGTATCGACTGAAAAAATTTCCCGGCGCTGCCTGTCACACTATCGCATAATTTCAATGCGCGAGATTCTAAAGCTTTCGTACTTATCAGCTCAGTGTGAACGACAATCACATCCACGGCTGACCTTTAGTCTCCACAAACAGATCGCCTTTAAGTCGATACTTGAGCGTTTGTGAGCACACCACAGATTCCCCGAAATTAATTACCCCACAATTTAAACGCGAAATTACCACAAAAAGGGTACTCTTTTCTATTATTTAAATAGTCATCTTCGCCTTGATAAATTCGCGTGTTAGGGCCAATTATTATAAATTATAATTAATATACAACAGTCATTTTAATGGAATGATATAGGTAGATTCTTTTCTTTTTGATAACAGGAATGCCTAAAGCACTCCAGAAAATATATTTTAAACATAGGTACGTATAATATAGGAGAGTGCATCGCGTACTAACATTAGATTAGATCTCAAACATGATTGAAAAAACAAATATATAATATATCGCTGAAAAACATACTCTATTCTATATAAGAAAAAAAAGTCACAAAATCCGAGAGGTACAAAATTTTTTTTTTCTTAAAAATTAATAATAAAACTATTTAAATACAAAAAGTTAACTATATTACAAAAAAACCTATACTTTGTCGTTCATTGTATTATTATACTTTTCGTTGAATTTACACAGATACAACAAAGAATAAATTCTCTAAAACAAATTCATGTTTTATAAAATATATAATCTATTTACAATGATTCAGTTGGCGTTTTTTCATAGCCGAAAAACAACGTAAAAACCGCCGGTGCTAATAACAATGTTAACGGACTGCTCTGAGAGGACGCTCATCGTGACCAGTCATTAACTCGATTTACTTTGGCAATGTGGCATTTAGTAATGAGAACAACTCATGTGGTTTGAATTCTCTCTCTCCCTCCCTCTCTTTCTCTCTCTCTTCCTCTTTTTCTCTCTGTCCCTCTCAAATCTATGTGGCCTTGTAGCCGGTGGGTGGAGCGTTGGTACAGGATGACGGGATATCTCAAATAGTACTTTTTTTTTATTGCACGTGTAGGTAGACGAGCATACGGCCCACCTGATGTTGAGTGGTTACCGTTGCTGATGGACGTCAGTAATGCCTGAGGCACAGCCAATCCGTTGGCTACCGTATCTTTAGAACATTTCACATAGAAATCAGAGGCATAAAAAATATATGAAATTAATAGTGCATTAATAGTACATATTAGTAGTAGTAGCTTTTGAATTTATTTGGTCACTACACTACATAAATTACTTGCAACAATTTTTTTTACTGAATGCAATCGAAACGAGCTCGCGGCCCACTCGATGTTAAGTGGTTACCGGAGCCTATAGGCATTACAAAGTAAACCCTTACAATCAAGGGGACCGTTAGTTCGCCTGCAAAGATAATAAATATAATAATACCAGCAGCTTTAAGGTATAACGTCTCAATTGTAATGTATTTTTAATTCGTATCTCACAGGCGCTCACATCAATTTAATGCGTTTCAAGTTTCTAATAACGATTTTACACAAAATAAATCTCTTGTTATATTCAATTGAACACAGTAGAATAGAAAAAAACAATCTAATAAAATAAGTTTTGTCTTTATCTAATTTCGTCATTTACAATTCGCTGAAATAAGGTATCTATAAAAAAAAGATACAACAAACTTGTTGGGGACTTTTTGGCGGGAACGCGAGCAGTGAAGTTGTGTGGTTTGTTTTATTTTGTCTATTTAGTGTTTCTTCAGGCTTAAATGTGTAATAACGGTGGTTTATTAACTGTTTAATATCTGTGAAAGTGCACAAATGTGGGAAAATGAAACAAAGCTGCTGGACGTAACTTCTCGGGTTCCTCCAAAAAGTCCACTGAAAAAATCTCAGTAAATGACCACCATTTTACTGTGATTATATTTCATCCCATATCATCTCATTTCATTAAATTTCATCCCAGTTGATTAATGTCTCAAATTAATCATCTTCATTTCATTTCACTCCATATTATCATTTTTCATAAAATTAAGAATATAAAGTAAAATAAGACATGACCTAAAGGTCTTAGTTACCAGGTCATAAAATCTCTTAAAAAAAAAAAAACTTGTTTTTTCTTTACACACGGACGCGCATTACATTTCGTAAATACATATTAGATATTGATTAAAATTTAAACGACACTACAATTCACTGCGTTCTACAGACAACAAGTCGTTATACAATATACATATCGACGCTTGAAAGGCAAACGTGACTAAGCGACAATAACTGATTTGTACATAAATGATAGGCAATAACCATATTCGATGCACAAAAAAAATATATTTCTAGGTCTATTAAAATCATTTCAATCCTACAGCTACTAGCTAGATTCTACTACAGCTAGATTCGTTAAAATAAATTTTGTTTTCAGGTATTTCAACTTTAAATTAGTCTACTGTAAAGTTCACGCATTGTCGCTTAGTCACGTTTGCCTTTCAAGCGTCGATATATATATACAAACGCTCGGGTTAATAAATCGATATTGTAGTGTTGACAAAAAAAAATTATTGCTATATGGATGGTCGAGCTCACGGCCCACCCGATGTTAAGTGGTTACCGGAGCCCGTAGACATTTGCGACGTAAATGCCGCCACCCACTTTAAGACAAGAGTTCTAAGGTCTCAGTTTTAACAGTTCAACAAAATGTTCACGATTGACCTCCACGGTGAAGAAATAACATTGTGTAATAAAAATCAAACCCGCAAAATTATAATTTGCGCAATTACTGGTGGTAGGACCTCTTGTGAGTCCGCGCGGGTAGGTACCACTATTTCTGCCGTAAAGCAGTAATGCGATTCGGTTTGAAGGGCGGGGCAGCCGTTGCAACTATACTGAGACCTTAGAGCTTATATCTCAAGGTGGGTGGCGTATTTACGTTGTAGATGTAATTTTAAATTATTATTTGTTAAGGTAGTCATCAAATCTTCTGTTGACTTACAGAATGTTTTGCTCGCATCTTATATCGTGTACATTGTTACTAGCCCCGCCGGGTGTTCGCGAGACGGTCGATCCGTTGATACCATAACGCAAATACCATGAAGACTTCCAATCCTCAATTGTAATAGGAATATTCGGTCGGAATCGGTGTTTCCCGAGCGCTATGACATGCCCTTCTTCAAACGAGGCTTGTGGAGTATTAAGCGGTAGGCAGCGGCTTGGCTCTGCCCCTGGCATTGCTGAAGTCCATGGGCAACGGTAACCGTTCACCATCAGGTAGGTCGTATGCTCGTCTGCCTACAAGGGCAATAAAAAAAAAAGTTATCCCGGCATCCGAAGCACATAAACGGTAAAATAAAAACCGATGTGGAACACGAAATATTTACGCCATTTTAATTATCTATCAAATAATACAACACAGCGACAATAACTTGCAAAGCGCACATTTATGTAGAATTTCAAAAGATTTATACACCATACAAAGAGAGGACTAGATTTTATTTTACAAAAAAAAAAATATTAAAAAAAAAACTTTTTTTGCAATCGGTCCTGATTTTTTTTTTCTTGTTAGTAATAAATAGTCAACAACCTACTTAGAGACAAGTGTGACGTACTTGTCGGTGACCCGGCGGCCAACGTTCGTGCGGGTAGACGAACATTCCGCTCAGTAGAAGAACAACAGTCGCTCTTGAGCCGTGCCGGAGAGCAGACGCCAGCCGCGCTTGATGTTCAAGTACTGGATTATGGCGCGCAGACAGATTAGTATACCTGAAAATTTTAATTAAGTACATACATAGTGTTGGCATATCACGTATTGTCGATCGGGCCTTAAGCACGTCATTAGAAGTCGTCGTGGCCTAAGGGGTAAGACGTCCGGTGCATTCGTGTTGAGCGATGCACCGGTGTTCGAATCCCGCAGGCGGTTACCAATTTTTCTAATGAAATACGTACAACAAATGTTCACGATTGACTTCCGATTTCGTTTTATCGATTTATGTTATCGTTATTTAATTTTACGCACTAATATAGATTTAAAGAGAGACATACAACCTTGATAGTTTGCATACAAAATGGTTTTTCGATGAATACTGACCAAAAGCCATGATTAGCCACCACAGCCACGAGTTATCGTGCGAGGCTAGATCGGTAGACTGCTTCACGATGAGAGTCCACTTGGCGAGGGACAGCCCGAAGCCGGCCAGGGCTCCGTAGCGGCTCGCGACCGTGTGACAGAAGCACATCAGCAACAGGAAACCGATCCAGTTGAACAAGAACGCGACTGAGTGCACAAACAAACGAGACTATTGTTAATACACAGCTGTGGTCCTTTAACACATTTAACACTAATCATACCAACACTTACATACATTTTAGCCCATGGACGTCCACTGCTGGACATAGGTCTCCCACAAGGTGGGCCGACGACCTATTGAGGTTCGCGGGGATCCGCTGGATGCAGGCAGCGCAGGACCGTTCTACCAACACTTACTGGCACCTATATCTACCATAGCGGGTAGTAACGTTATACGACAAATATTAGGTACTCAAAATAAAGAGACCAAAACAAAAAAAAAATGTATAATAACTGTAGGTTAATTGGTAAGAAAAAGTCATGAAGTCAAATGTGCAAAAGGAATAAGATGATACGTGCATTTTCAATGCTAACGTTTAAAATGGGTCATTTGACCCGTTGTGGTATATTTAGTGTTAATGCCAACATGGCGCCGTGAAGAGTCCGAAGACACGGCGTGGCGTATGGCATGATCAATTTGTTCAAATTAATAGCGCGAACCCTAATCCGACACTTCATATTATAAGATCGCTATTTTACATATGTATATGGCCATATGGGTCACGTAAAATTAACGCACCGGTGGAAACGATACTGATGCATAAAAAAACACAATGGCATGCCACGGCGCCGTGACGGACCGGGGGCATGGTAGTTGGCATTAAATGTGTTAATATTATTTACTTCATCATCATCGGAAAACACGACGGCTGTAAGAGCTCACGTCCAACCTTATGTCCAGTGTTTAACGACAGCTCATAGACATCACAATGTAAAGGCCACTACTCCCCTTAAAACATGAGGTCTGAGCCTTAATTGCATAGTATAACGGCAGTTCCACCATTCAAAGCGGAGAGCATTACTTCTATATAAATCTCCAAGACGGTGGATTTTATCCCTGCCAGCATTTCAAGGGCAGTTGCTTAATGATTACATGAGCAGGGTAACCTCATCTTTAGCTGCTGCTAGAATTGGGGCTAGGAGTAGCATTGAGAATGGACCAAGTGGATTAGGAATGTTTGGCCAGATGCCACTTTGTTTTACGGGATATGGTCAGTGCCAGTTTCGAAGTAGCTGGGTCACGTAAGTCCGCGCAACAACCTTATAGCCCCTTGAGTGCAGTTTAATGAATATTCATATAGTGAGACTAGCTGTACCCGTCCACTTCGCTGGGCATTTAAAATTAATATTATTATTTCTCACCCCCACAAAGATTCTCATCATTAACGTCCCCGCAACTGGTGTAGGGAGTCCAACACTCACATAAATATTAGCCTATCAAGTCAATCGGATGCATGGTTTAGTAGTTATAACGGAACATCCGTAAAAACCACTGTAGATTTATATATTAGTATAGATTAAAGGAACGTGCAGAAGTTTGAAACTTGTAATATCGATTTGATTAAGTACTCACCGAGAAACGAGGTCATGAACATGACGTCAGTGCCCAGAAGGCTGTTCTCGTGGTCTAGCGGCTCTGTTCCAGGGTCGGCAGTCTCCACCGTCACGAAGGCGGTAAACGTCGGCTGGTGAGACGGAACTTGACCCTGCCAAACAAACCTCGTCTTTTTTCCGCTCTTTTGTTGACACGACTCATAAAGATCTGTAGGTTTAGTGCGAGTTTTTTAACGTTCTCGATAGCGTAAAAGTTAACTCATATTTGTATGGATTGGGATCGTTTGCCTACGTTTTCCGCTAGGGGCGCTGTTCCAACTGCATACAAAATTGGGTTAACTTTTACGCTATCGAGAACGTTAAAGAACTCGCACTAAGCTCAGAGAACTGCACAGCATTCGAAGCGCCGCAAATAATATAATGACAATAATAGACGATAGGTTAAACCGTTAATATAGCTTTAGTTATGTCTGCATCTCGCGAACACTGAAGTATATACTTTACATAATTAATATAATGTAAAAGTTTGACTGACTCGGTGGTGCGATAGTTAGCACGCTTGGTTGTTGCGCCGAGGGTCGCGGGTTTGATTCCCACATTGAGCAAACATTCGTGCGATGAACAGAGTGCTTAGTGCGAGTTTTTTAACGTTCTCCATCGAGTAAAAGTTCACTCAAATTAGTATGCAATTGGAACAGCGCCTCTAGCGGCAGACGTAGCTAAACTTTCCAGCTCCATACAAATTTGAGTTAACTTTAGAAGTTATGAACGTTAAAAAACTCGCACTATGCACACAGGTTTGTTTGTTCTTTGTCTGGAGCTTTATCTGTACATCGAGAGGTAAAAGGCGACATTTCGCAAAATACGCGACATTTATCTTTGTTATTAATGATACTATTCATTTGGTATCAGCATCAACAGTTCGAGGTTTTTTAGGCCATTCAAATAGCTGGATTACAGTAGTGTTTTTGATTGATTTCCCAAATTTTAAACTTTATATGGCTTCCCTGTAACGTTGCAAAAAAGTCGAATAAGCCTACATTGTCTTTCACCTCTCGATATGTTTTTATTTAAAAAATGTATGCAAAGTATGTATGTTAGTCTCTGGTACCCATAATACAGGGAACCCTAATTTAGAGTCGGATGACCGTGCGTGATTCGTTCCCATGTATGCATTTATTTATTTACATTTTTATATAATTAACATGAGGACGATATAGATGATGTTACGCAGAAGTAAATCAAAATTAATACGTTTTTTTTTAGATGGGTGGACGAGCTTACAGCCCGCCTGGCGTTAAGTGGTTACTGGAGCCCATAGACATTTAAGACGTAAGTGCGCCACCCACCTTGAGATATCAGTTCTAAGGTCTCAGTACAGTTAGTTTATTAGTAAAGTTGGCCTCAAACTCAATAGTCGTCGAATAGTGAAATTGTTCTCGAGCTATTGCTGCAGAGCAATCATTCCCATTGCAATCGGCATGGGAAGGATCGCCACGCGTGGGTACTTTTACACACTACCCTGTACGCTGGTGGTAGGACGTCTTGTAAGTGTGCTGCACGGGTAGGTACCACCGACCTGTCTATTCCGACCGTTAATCAGTAATGCGTTTCGGTTTGAAGGGTGGGCAGCCGTTGTACTGTAAAACTCAGATTTTAGAACTCATATCTCAAAGTGAGTGGCAGCATTTACGTTATAGATGTCTATGGGCTCCGGTAACCACTTAATATCAGGTGGTCGGTGAGCTCGTTCACCTATTTCGCAATAAATAAATAAAAACATTTTTCACAGACGATTTCCATGTTGATTACAGTGAAGCGTAATGAAATATAAATTTTGGAAAAACATTTTTGCGTAATGGCCCGCCAGCACTATTCTAATTATCAAGGTCAATCGATCGACGCCAATCTCTCTGTTCAAGTTTAAATAAAGTTGGCCAAGTATCAATAAATCGTTAGTTATTAAAATCATACGCTTTGTATCATTATAAATTATAGATATGCTCCTTATCTGCGGCTAAGGTCGCGTTACCTTTGGCTTTAACTGTTGATTTAAAACGAATGAGTTTATCTATACTAATATTATAAAGCTGAAGAGTTTGTTTGGTTGGTTGAACGCGCTAATCTCAGGAACTACTGGTCCGATTTGAAAAATTCTTTTAGTGTTAGATAGCCCATTTAGGCTATAGGCTATTTAACATCACGCCAGAACTATTTAACATCAGACCAATACAAGTGGAGCACATTTTGAGAGCTTCCGCTGTGTGCGCTGCGGAAACGGTTAAAGTTTGGCCAACATAATCTATGATATAATTGTTCCCCTTTAAAAGTTCTAAAAAAAAGTCCGCGACAGCGAATGTCTATATTTAAAGGTTGGCTCACGATAACGTTTTTTAAGTTAAGCATATTAATATAAATTTGCTCTAAAATAAAATACAATTTGTGAAGGCGTTTTTATGAAGATGATATTAATCCCTATCCAAATAAATACGTTATTCATTACAAGTATTTCATTTTAAAGAAATTTCCCCTCGCTCGATTTTAATGAGTATCTCGCTATGACTATTTCAATGAGTATGAGAAGATATCGCAGTTTTAAAATAACATCGCAGCAAAATAATGATCAAGCGCGTAATAATGATGTACAGGGCGACCGCCGGCCGGTGCGCGGCGGCACCGAATAAGAAGAATAACAAGAAACACCCAAATGACTTCAAGATAGGCTTTTTATAGATTTTTCTGGACTTCTCCAGGATCCCATCATCAGATCTTGATGATTACAGGACCATTTGGGAAGTCTACCCTTTCGAAAAAAATTAGGAAAGAGAATTATCAGAATCAGTTCAAGCATTCTCGAGAAATCGTTGAACACACATAGATAAAAAAATTATGATCGAATTGATAACTTCCTCTTTTGAAGTCGGTTAAAAAAGCGTGATTTTTGTATCTTAAATAGCTCTTTAACATTCTATTATTCAAAAATATTTTCAGTTTCTACGTAAATGAAGAGACGGGTAAAATTTAGCGTTATACCAAAGTAACTATTCCACGCGGACTAAGTCGCGGGCAAAGACTAGGTTAAGATATTTTTAAAGATTGTTTACTGATTAAATTTTTTTCAAAGAAGTTTCATTACATTACATCACATGTGAATCATACAATATTTTTTTATAATTATTTATTATACTAATAAATGAAAATACCCATAAGTACCAACAGTTCTCACACAATGTATTTGAAAAAAAGTTTGCATATAGTCCAATACCTGCAGAAACCCTATAACTTAATATGGGACAGTCTCCAGTTTCCAAAAATACACCATCAAAGCTTGCCCATATGATATGGAGAAACGAAACTATGTTTTCAGTGACAGAGAGCTCAACTGTAGGTTGCTGGGGAACATAGGTTCTATCTAATCTGTAGTATTGGAGTAGATTTGGAACCACAAACAAATTGGACAGGCACAAAGGTTGATGTAAATGTGCATTCGTATATAGCGATGCAACGGTGTTCGAATCCCGCAGGCGGGTACCAATTTTTCTAATGAAAATACGTACTCAACAGTTGTTCACGATTGACTTCCACGGTGAAGGAATAACATAGTGTAATAAATAAAAATAAAAAATAAATAAAAAAAAATTAAACCCGCAAAATTATAATTTGCGTAATTACTGGTGGTAGGACCTCTTGTGAGTCCGCACGGGTAGGTACCACCGCCCCGCCTATTTCTGCCGTGAAGTAGTAATGCGTTTCGGTTTGAAGGTTGGGGCAGCCGTTGTAACTATACTGAGACCTTAGAACTTATATCTCAAGGTGTGTGGCGCATTTACGTTGTAGATGTCTATGGGTTCCAGTAACCACTTAACACCAGGCGGGCTGTGAGCTCGTCCACACATCGAGGCAATAAAAAAATTAAAAAAATCAAAAAGTCACTTAAAGTGCAAGGTTTGAGTGGAACCAGAGGAGTATTCAGATGCGAATGAACTACAACATGCTTGGGCACATGAAAGAGTTTATGAGTGAAGCTAAAATAAGCATGGTCATGATGCAAAAAGTTTTGTAGCGCTGAGGGTACTTAGGGCACTCTAGCACAACAGATCACTTTTGGGCGATTATTCAACTTTCTTAATTATGTAAAAAGGTGAAAGAGTTCAGGTACCACCTATTGCTTAGGTGGTTGGACGAGCTCACAGGCCACCTGGTGTTAAGTGGTTACTGGAGCCCATAGACATCGACAACGTAAATGCGCCACCCACCTTGAGATATAAGTTCTAAGGTCTCAGTATAGTTACAATGGCTACCCCACCCTTCGATCCGAAACGCATTACTGCTTCACGGCGGAAATAGGCGGGATGGTGGTACCTACCCGTGCGGACTCCCAAGAGGTCCTACCACCAGTGATTACGCAAATTATAATTTGTTACTGAAGCCCATAGAAATCATAATGAACACCTCCATCCGCAATCTTTTTGGGGTCTATGTCTTAAAATTATTAAGTAATTATGCAAATTATATTTTTTGCAGGTTTGACAGTGATGATACGTTTTCAGAATATTACTACAAAGTCATTTGTGAACATGAGCAAACTATATATTTGGGTACAAAAACTGATACCAGTATGTGGGATTTGAACACTGATATAGTGCATCTTTCGACATAAGTACACCAGACATCTTATCCTTTAGGATATGAGAACATTAAAATTTAAGTTGATAGTCATAGGATCTTGTCGAGCGTACCCATTTGTTGTTAACACTACAACAATTATTGTAGCCATCCTTAGTAAATTTGCCATGAAGCAGATATAGGTGGAGTACCAATGCAATTGAAACTTTATTCTTGTGGCACAAGGTAGTCAATCATATTCACATTATGATGATCAGGTATCCCACTATCATATAAAGCCATCATAGCTATTTAATAAATAAATTCATAATCATTTTAAGTTCAAATCCTAACCATTGGCCTTTCGCCTGCCATCTGTTTCTCACGCTGTACTTCCTCATATGTTGGTAGCTTCGAGTTAGCGGCCACATCATATGGTGGTGGAGCTAAGAAATCTGCTTGAGGAGGTGGAATATCTGAAACATCTGTAAACATTTTAACACCCTTTTATTAGTTTAATGGAGTGGTCGGCAAACTTGTCAACCAAAAGAGCCAAATATAGATAATATATATAAATATAGATAATAGAAATTTATTCAAAGAGCCAGTATCAACATGTTTAAAATTTTTAATTAATTTTCAAGTCAGTTTGCAATTTAGGACTGTTTTTTAGTTTAAAACTATATATTTTTGGCGAATGTGTTATACAACAACTAAAAACAATAACTGATTAACTTGGTAGCCATCGTTTTTGAAGTTAGATATTTTTATTGTATTGTAATGTAAGTACTGTAAGTGGTAATTTCCATTATTGATTTAGATGCGAAGACAAGCCCACAGCTATTTTCAGTTACTGTTGTTTTGTAGACACCAGTTGCTTGTAGACACCATTGTATACTTAGTATATATTTTTTTATTGATTTGATTATACAAACGCACGGTCCTCCTAATCAATAATAAACAAAAGCTAAGGGAATATTGTGAGCGCATATTGTGTGCGTGCGTGTAACATGTTATCGTGGGAAATTTTAATTACTACTTAAATATATGACGTTCGAGTACTGATATGAGTGATTGCTCAAATAAATCGACTTACTCATATCAATGTACGTCGGTGGTATATTAGGATCCAAATTAGACGGAAGAATCACTGTCAGTTGCGCTGGAGGATGTATGTTCTCCACACACTGATTATTCTGCAACTAAACAACATAAACTTTCACACGTTATACCACAATAATAATATTCTACACGCTTTATGGACGTAAATAAACAACATATTTATTTTAGTCCTACCATGGTTTGAACCATTTTAAGCTAGAATTCTTCCTTTATAATGCGTACTTCTCTAAAAAATAGATTATAAGTTGCATTTGATATTAAATCAAATATGTAATCAAGGATTTCCCTTTATGAAACAAATGCTTTTCTAATTCAATACGGCCTGCGGTTACATGACCTTGTAGTCATAGCTGATGTTGAAACAGTATTACATCGTTTCTGAGCAGTTTCTATCATTTTAATATAATATTTCTATTTTTATTTTACCTGTTGGTGCGGAACTTTTTTTGATCCTCATGTGTGCAAAAATACTTCCCATGAGTAATTACTAATTTGTTGTTTTCACGTCTACGTACTTGCTTTTGGTATTATGATTTGCTTAGTTTCCATATTTTTTTTCAGTTCATATAAAGTATATTGTACATTTAAATTATTCATAAAAAATCGTATCATACTAATCGTCATTTTTTCTTCTTCTATAGTAGTTCTTCTTCTCCCCTTACGTTATAGTCTAAATTATTTTATAATCTTCAATAATAAATAGAAAACCAGAATAGCATTGGGAATTAAAATATATATATAAATATATATATTAGAATTTAGAGAACAGTTTATTATTCCTATTGTTAGCAGAAATAAACAGATATCTGTGATTTGTAGCATAAAAAGCTCTTTGTCAAGAATGTTTCAAAATAAAATAAAATAAATTATTTATCGGATTAAATGGAACATCTTTTTTATTGCTAAGATGGATGGATGAGCTCATGGACCAACTGGGGTTAAGTGGTTACTGAATTCCATAGTCAGCAACAATGTAAATACCGCCATTCGCCAATAAAAATTTACGTTCATAGCATTTTATATCTAAAAGCAAATTGGTATTAAAATTTTAATGCTGTAGTTGTGAAATTATGATTTCTATGCCTGTGCATATTAATTGTCTTACTGTACATAGACCTACTTCAGTGTATCTATGGAAAAAAAATAAGATTGACAAGGTTATGTCAAAAAATTTAACATGCAAAACAAAATATGGATACAGAAAATTGGCACCCACATAATTTAGTTTAAACTTAAATTGAGGTTCATATCTATCAGTTAATTGGAAAATCAAACAAAATCAATAAATACCTAATCATGAAGACAGCTCTTATGGTGGCGGAAAAGCCATCGTTGGCCCAAAATCTAGCCAACATACTTAGCAATGGCAAATGCACTACAACTAAAGGTTACAATTTATCTAAAAGCTTTCCGCAAGCGAATCGCATTTAATTTATTCAATGAATAATTTCAAATTTAAGG